CCGTTGTTAAAGAAATTATTTTATTAAGTGGAGCATAAGGCGAACTTATTGCCATAATGCATTCTCTACCAGTACACCTTAAAGTTTACGTAAAAAAATCTGCGAAAATAAGGTACGAACAACAGTTTAGCATTATCTACCTACTTTACTATCTACTTATCTTCTATCTACCTTAAGCTACCTTTCCTTGCAGGGTACAGACACAGCCTTCAGAGAGCACACGCCTGACTTGATGACGGGCAGGCTGAAGGTGCGATCACAGCACTACTGCATAGATGCCTACCAACTGGTCAATGGGTTCCAGTTCACTCAAGATTTTTTCTGTGCCTCATTGAGGAACGGTACCAGGGATGCTTGCTTGGTAAGCATTCACAATTTTAAATGTAGGAGAGCGACTGTGGTCGGCTGGAGTGATACCACAGTCACACTCATAGTAAACTAAGTGAATTTATGACAGACCCAAAAGAGTCAAGGACCAAAAATCTTCGAGTCATGAATGATGGATGACATATTTAAGTACCTTGTTATTAATATTATGCAATGGATCGTTAACTTGGAACAAAAGATTTAAAATAACAATACTATTTGTCAATGTCTGACAAATGAGCCATTCTAAATCATATAACCACAACACGTTGCGAACAGTTCGACGCAGGCGCTCCGGCGGTACAGCAGAACAGATTGATGGGCATCATGAGCTTCGGGCCTGAACGCTGCGGACATGAGTTCCAGCCTGCTGTGTTTATCAAGGCCTTCTACTTTAGGTATGTAGAGAACCCCTCATGTTTTAAAGAGGATATAGGTAATTTTTTTATGGAAAAGGCGACTGCCTCGTTGGCCGAGTGGTCGCAAGTTGCCGGGCAAGGGGTCTCGGGTTCGATTCCTGGGTCGGGCAAAGTATTACTGGGTTTTTACAAAATTCTCCTATTGCCTAAAGCCTATTGCCATATACCGGGCACAATTCCAGACTCCGTGCTACTACTGAGATTTTTTTAAAACCCAGTACTACTTTGCCCAACCCGGGAATCGAACCCGAGACCCCTTGCCCAGCAGTCCCACTTGCTACCACTCGGCCAACGCGGCAGTCCAAAAAACAAAACCGATAAACATAAAATCAAACAAATTCCAGAGACTTCGTAAAATCAACAATAGCTTCATACAAGACGACGGCTGAGCTGATAGATGCAGTGCAGGAGATCGACCCGAGCTTGCAACAACACGAAACGCTGCATGAGGGTGTACCACAAGAAGTGCCGGAGAAGTTAAGGGACGATGTCAGAAACGCCTGGGAGGCGGCCACTGAGCCCGATCTGAAGCACGATTAATATTCCCATTTTTTGGTAGCATCTATAAATTAAGATATGGGAGACATCGCGGCATCTTACCAATGAGAGATGGGAGTCATCGTGAAATTATTGGACGACGGTTTTTGAATAAAATGGTTTCTTTCTTTATCCAAACTGTTGCCTAATTCCTTCAAAGTTTTACAGCATTTTTAAAACCTTTTAGAAGTGGATTTATTACTTTAGTGACACTATGGAGTTGATGTCTAAAGTCTAGATCGATCCAGGGGTATTGAATTAAGATTTGTTATTAGAATTAGAAATTTATTCGCACGAACATGTGATACAATGGATCTTAGTGTAATTTTTAATAATGTATTTATAATAACTATCGTGAGACATACTAAATTAACTAAAATCGCGGGTTACTCACGTGAGTATACTGAGAAAAGCTCTACTAGTTTCGAACTACAGAGGGGTTCTTTCTCATGAGCAGCGTGCGGGGTCGCGGCGACGTCGCTGATGAGGAAGAACCCCTCTGTTTCCAGTCATGCAAATTTTTGTTTATTACATTAATTTTTTTATGGCATATACCATAAGCATAACCATAAAGGCGAGACGGTTAACGAGCAGACGGATCACCTGATGGTAAGCAATCGGCGTCGCCCATCGACACCTGGAACACCAAGGTTACAAGTACGTTACTGGCCTTTTGGGAATTGGGAATTTGAGGAGTGTGGAGGATCCGGGGATTGGGGAGACTGGGGAGGGGGAGTAATTGGGCCTCCGGTAACCTCACTCACATGACGAAACACAACGCAAGCGTTGTTTCACGTTGGTTTTCTGTGAGGTCGTGGTATCCGGTACATACATACAATATAGATCCAATTTATTTAATTAATTTATTAAGCAATGTCAAGATTAATGTCAATGAACGTCGCGGTAGGCCCAGAAGGAGATGGCGGGAAGAACTTTAAAAAGAATTAGCCACAGAAAGCTATAAGCAGAGATGAGTGGAAGGAAGGTATGGGAGGCCTTTGTCCTGCAGTAGGACGACCATGCTTGAAAATAAATAAATAATGTCAAGATGACGATTCCAACATATCAAATTACAAATTCAAATACAAGTCAAGGCGTCTTTACCTATGTCTTTGAAATTAAATGTCATAATATTAAAATTGTTTTCACAATTCCATGGTCAATGAAGTCCTTATACTAGAAAAACATTTTACATTTTCCAATCATTATTCATATTAATTTCGACCAACAGTTTATTAATCCATGGTTCATAGTTCCACGTTCATTCCAATCCCAACTCTAACGTACATTTACTTATGATTTAAATTTATTTAAGCTGTTGTAATCAATTAAACATTTCCTGATCAGTTGTATATCGAATCCCTTAGTGTCTTAGTCATAGGGCCGAGATTAGTTCAGCAAGCATTATTACGTGAGCAAACTATGTAATACTAGTCGAGTATAAATATTTACATAAACGAAATTAACTCGAAATGTACCTTACTGGTCACGTTGATAGGAAAATGGAAAACGTTCATATACTCCGGTCGATAGCCGTGTGGTTACGGTAGAGTAAAATACATTTTTGTCGACTTCAAAATAATGATGTTCTCAGTTCTAATTGTAAGTAGGTATGTATGTATGTATGTATCTCGCGATTGGCTGAACCGATTTTGATGCGGTTTTCAGAAAAGTGTTTGTTACACTTTAGACTTTAAGAACATTTATTTATCGACATCAAAAAAGACGGCACTTAATGCCAATTTTTATAAGAAGTAAGAATAGTTTCTTACGTTTAAGGCTCATCCCATGTTACATATTACATAAATAGAACTTTTAACAACATAACATAACATCACGCCTTTTATCCCGAAAGGGTAGGCAGAGGTGCACATTATGCCACTGTACAATGTAACACCCACTTTTCACTATTTATGTTATGAGTCCCATGTAATACGGGGTGAGCCTATTGCTATATACCGGACACAATTCCAGACTCCGTGCTACTACTGAGAATTTTTTTAAAACCCAGTAATACTTTGCCCGACCCGGGAATCGAACCCGAGACCCCTTGTTCGGCAGTCGCACTTGCGACTACTCGGCCAACGAGGCAGTCACATAAATAGAACTCATAACATAAATAGTGAAAAGTGGATGTTAGATTGTACGGTGGAATTAAGTGCCGTAATGTGCACCTCTGCCTACCTCTTTGGGGATAAAAAGACGTGAGGTTATGTTATGTTTTGTGTTGAAAATTCAGATCGTATTTAATGTGACTCTTTAACTCGTCGAGTACCGGTTTTGTAGACACAATTATAGAACAATAGGTTGCGGTCACCGGTGACCGCTTGGTATTTGACAGTTTAAAAAAGCGAAAACTTCTTGCTTTGTAGTCGGTATTTTTATGATCACTTGAATAATAAGTGACAAAACTAACAATCAATATTAAAGATAAAGATAAAGATATTTTTTATTTGCGTTAACATGAGTAATATTACAAGAGTACATGCAATGGTGTTAAGTTCGGAGTATGAGCTACATGTTATGCCGTTATATTATATTTATAATTATATTATTAAAATAATAATATAATTTATTACTGTATTAATAAAGGTAAGACAACTAGAACTTCATAACTTGAACATAGTCAAAATTGGGTTTTAAATCAAGAAGATAGTTTTATAAATACAAATAATAACGTTTAAACGTTTATTAGCACTTCATAGAATTAACAAATAAGTAACCAATGTTTCCAGTGTGTAAATAAAAGTCTGACCCAATACTTCTGCCCAATCATTCGAGAAATAGAAGTCATCTGAAGTATGGGAGAGCTATGCTTCGCTCGACCGGAGTGATACCACGGCCTCACAGAAACCGACGTGAAGCAACGCTTGCGTTGTGTTTCGCCGTGTGAGTGAGGTTACCGGAGGCCCGAAAAACCCCACCCTCTTCCCAATCTCCCCAGTCCCTGAATCTCCAACAATCCTCAAATCCCTATTCCCAAAAGGCCGGTAAAGAACTTGTAACGCCTCTGGTGTTCCGGGTGTCCATGGGCGACGCCGATTGCTTACCATCAGGTGATCTTTATGCTCGTTTACCGGCTCATCCTATAAAAAAATTACGAGTGTTCCATCCTCCAATTCCCATCAAAGCCATTCTCTACATTTCTATACCTAACGTTATACCTAGATACCGAACATGCTTCTGTTCTCATAGAAGATCCTAGAATGTGTGATCATAATTCATGGAGCGAACAAATTAATGTCAATAATATGTCAATTATCAACGAGCAGGAAAACCAACTGATTTCAATAGCGATTCAAATATATGGTGCAACAATATCTACGTGGAATCATCAATCCTTTCCTTGAATCTTGGGGGATCCAAATAACAATACTACTACCAGTTTTTGACAACCCCCCTCACAAAGTCATAATAATCTTTACAACTTCAAAAATAAAGTTGAAATTCCAGTAGAGCTATATTAAAGAGCGGTCAACGAAATCGGTCAGCCGGTGAGGCGCCAAAACCTGAGACCAATTGATAAAACACAATCCATTTGATTTTAAACTCTATTGTGGTTACATAAGAATGATTTACGAGTAATTGAAGGGTAATGACATAACTGTGTTTGCATAACTGTTTGCAGTACACACATGTGTGATTATAGGTTATAAAAAGTAGTTGCTTGACAGACGTCAACCGTATCGCAAGCGCATGATTGTAATTCGCGATATTTTTGACATTTAAAAATTTAATACATTCGAGCGCGAACTACGAAAAGTGATAACAATAATACGATGATTCTAAATATAACTAGTGATTGTGTTTTGTTAAAAAAATAACCTAGAAGTGACTTTGTTTTTTTTTGGTTCTCGGCTTTTATCGTATATTCAGCCAACATGGAACGGAAAAAGGAAAGCAGTTCGAAACGTCAGATATTAACCGCTTTGGTTGGTAAGTAGATTATTTATTCCTAGAATTCATAAATTAAAACATCATGCCAGCACCTACTTTTAATGGGGGAAACAGATAGAGGATATATTTTCGTTATTTATGTTTCAATTTAATGTTTTAAACAACGCCGAGTATTTAATTAAACTTATTTCAAAAACTTTCCCAAATCATTAAATGTATTTTTTAGACTTTAACGGCCGAAGTTTTTGACAAAAACTCTATATACAATAATTGATATAAAAAATCGATTGATTGTAGATTGAGATTGGTTCAAACTTAATTCATAGAATTTCTAAGTAAAATTGTCACAAGAACGTTTATTCTATTTAATGTGATTGTCACGTTTAAATGACGTTCCCTTTAAATGCAAATGCTGATTGAAACTGCTTACAAAGTCAAGAATTAAAACGGTCAAGTGCACGACGCGCCGTCTCGATGCAGCTGCATGCTTGCATAGTGTGGGGCATACAATTATAGATAAGTACTCGTGTTATTAAGAGCTACTTATAACAGATTCATTTTAATTCTAAGCGTGCCTCTCTCTTATAAAAAAAGAAATGGCTCATACTAGATTGCATAGAAAAAAATAATTAGTAGAAAAGTAACCTAAGGGTCTATTTCTGCCTCCTCGCAACCCAGCCATCGCGAAGGACAAACCACCACAGATGGGGCCCAACAGGGCCGATGCCGATTCGGAGTCGCGGAGAACCTAACGGGTATCCGGTGCTCCGGCTCGACGTGCAGGAGAAGGAACGGGGTGGTTTTTAGTCAGTAAGAGTCTGCCTTCCGCCTCACCCAGGCGGGAGCAGTCATTCGATGATTTTCCCCCCTTAAAAAAAAATGAACGTAAATCTGGTGTCATTCTTATTTAGGCTTCCTCAGGTCAAAACAAAGCAGACTGAAAATAACTCAGTAAGAAATCAGGCTAGGACGAAACAAAACCTTATTGAGCAACATATACGTATTAAATTTGCACAAACTTTCTACCTGAGTAAACATTGAAATCGCGCGTAATTTGGTAACAGGATATAGGAAGGAACTGATATACTTTCTATTCTGCGTAAAAACAATGGATTTTGGTGTTTATATGTGTGATAATATAGTCCTGAGTTGAATACTAGAGCAAAGCATTGCGCTGCATTTCAAAAATGATTTGCAAGAGGAAGCAGTAGCTACATTGACATATATTCATCTGATTATGATTCAGTGCCGACGTAGCAAAAGGACAGAGAGCACAGAACTATTCGAACAGTAGTAACATACCATCATCATGTTTCGTAGACTGCCTTGGGCGAGTGGTCGCAAGTGCGACTGCGGGATAGGGATCTCAGGTTCGATTCCCGGGTCGAGCAAAGTATTACTTACCCAAGAGTCCACTAGTCCATTATTAACCCGTCGTGTGTCTAAACGTGGATGCATGCGAGACACAATATATTTTTTATTGTATATTTGTATTTCATATCGGTGCATTCAAGCAGTTAAACATAGGTCACCCCCAGTGGTGTAACTACGGGGTGGGAAGTCAGAAAAATGTCACGGGGCCCTAGTCGCAAGACGCCTTCGTTCAGATTCTCACCTAAACTTCTCGAGACAAAGGAGGCCCATCCGATAATTTGCCACGGACCTCGATCAGTATGGTTACGCCACTCGCCTGCCTCAATGACTTCCATATCGTTCTGTATTGGAAGATATCTGCATACATCAGCTCCTTGCGATTTCAGTATCAGATTTTATCATAACGTAACATACCATCACGCCTTTTATCCCTGAAGGGGTAGGCAGAGTGCACATGTGCAGAGTGCAGATGTGCACATTACGGCACTTAATGCCACTGTACAATGTAACACCCACTTTTCACTATTTATGTTATGAATCCCTTGTAATAGGGGGTGAGCCTATTGCCATATACCGGGCACAATACCAGACTCCGTACTACTACTGAGATTTTTTTTAAACCCAGTAATACTTTTCCCGACCCAGGAATCGTACCCGAGACCCCTTGCCCGGCAGTCGCACTTGCGAACACTCGGCCACCGGGGCAGAACTTTATCATCATTATTTAACTCAGATTCAGTCATAGTTGCATATCTCCTCTTGTTGTACCTCATGTTACTTCACTGTTCAATACATCCTTCAAACATGTTGACATACTGCCACTAAGTTCCTATCTGCCCTTCATGGATAAAACTCCTTAATACTACCGTTACTAACAGCACCATGGCGCCAACGCAATGTTTACGTAGACTTGATAACACGCAGTTATAAAACGTACTAAGTCATCAATACTAAGAAGTAAGCATTATGATTTTATGAAGAGGATATTTAGGTACACGTACGAAACAACATACATATGTAGTTACATGCCTATTGTTTAGCCAAGGGGTAGGCAGGCAGAGTGGTAATGGCACATGTAATGTTCATGTTTAACAACTATACACTATTCACTGGTTATGTTGAAGTCTCACCACAAATCATAGGAGGTTCACCTCCTATGATTGAGGGAGGAATATCAACAAATTATTTGCCGCCCTGTGTGGGGCAACGTCAGACTCTTACTGTCTAAAAACCACATCGTTCCTACTCTTGCGAAGCCTCGGTAATCCGCAAGATCTTACAAACAGGGTGAGCCTACTGCCATACTGTAGGCTAAATCCAGTAATCCAGGTTCCGTCTAGGTTCATAAAATTTCCGTGTTCATAAGGTAAATAACCATGTTACAACTGTGAAGCTGTGACCCTATCTGTAGGGGCAACTTATTTCTATGTGTAACCAGCCTAAAATGCGAAGTACGTACCTAATAATCAGGAAGTCCGCCAGTAAGCAGGCGTTCAAGGTTGGAGTTCGTAAGTGGATCTCGGGTGGAAAGTTGGTAGAGTCTTCATAACCTATCTCTTTTATGTTTGAATATTTGATTGCACATATATATATACATATATACTTATTTCTATATATATATATATATATATTAATAAAATATTAAAAATATATATATTTATATTTACAATAGTCCGTTGTATGTATTCTGTCATTTTAAAAATTATATTAGATACTCGTTGTCAACTTATTGCACCGACCACGCTCTCACTGCATCACCTAAAGGTTGGCTAGTAAGAATGCCCATGGCATTAAGCCCGCCTATGTACTCTTGTTGCATAAAGTTAAATAAATAAATAAATAAATAATAAATAATGTTTACAACCCAAACAGTAGTTTTTATAAAAATATTCTCATAAATATGTATAAGAAAAGAAAATGTGCATTTTCTTATCTTCTTTACAATCAGCAATTAATCACTGTCATAATGTATGAAAACATTAACAATTTATGAAGACAATTTGAAAATATTTATGTATAGTTTTACATAATGTACCTAGATATATTCAGTGAATAGGTTTTTTTTTTTCATAAATCAGACTTGTGTCGATTCATAGGTGCGAAGTTCAGGGTAGCTGTATCAGATTTTTTTAGATAAAATGTAGATATTACGTTATTTTACCGACACGTATATAAAATAAATGTGATTTGTCATTTGCCTATAGCTCTAGATAGAGATAAAATATCAACAATTCCAATTTCAAATGATTATTTTTAGATACATCATCATAAGCCATAAGTGTATCGTGGGCTCGTTCACAAACATACAAAATCACATAAACATCACACTGAGTCTCGAAACAACATCCCACAACAGATGGGGTCCAGTAGGGCTGACGCTCGACCCGGAACTAAAGACGACCTAGCGGGTTCTGCCCCGCTCTAAGCAATGGTAGGAATGGGGTGGTTTTTAGTCAGTAAGATTCTGACACTCCCTCCCTCATTACCCAAGGCGGAAGAAGTCAACTAAATTAACTAAAAATCGCAGGTTACTCACGTGAATATACTGAAAAATGTTCTACAATTTCCGAGCCACAGAGGGGTTCTTCCTCATGAGAAGTCATTGGAAGATCCCTTCCTCAAAACTCACAGTCAAAATAACGATTTGTGGATCGCACAAAATATTGTTTTCGCTGGAATTAAACTCGCGCAACAGCCGGTTTCCCAACCATTGCGTTAACCGGTCATTCCATCAATTTTCTTTTACAATATTTTACAAGGTTCAACCTTAATAACACTAATGTTCATTGTAATAGAGAGGCGACGCAATAAAAATAACTGACATACTCATTCAACTGCTATGTTACTACAATGACTCGTCCTTTATCTCAGAAAAGATAAAATAATTCAAGAATATCTGTTCACAATGTAATATTTCTATGTAACATTATGTAGTTCTAGGATTTCCTAGTTACATGGAAATGACTAACTCTATTAAATATTCAAATATACAAAGTGTAGTTTTGAAGCCTTATTGGAGTTTTATGGAATTAGGAATAATATCAATTACGTGTTTGAGTTTGTGTGTGTTAAGCCGCGTTATAAAGCTAGTTACAAGACGGCGGTGTTTTGCAGAAAAATTAAAAATATTTACCTACAATTTTTTTATTGATTCGGACTCAGAATCGATATCCGAGTTACCTCCTAGAAAATGACGCGGCTTTAAAACAACACCTTGTATAATAATAATAGCCTCTGCCCGCAACTTCGTACGCGCAATCCCGTTTTCTCCCGTTCCCATAAGATTTTCAGGATTTTTTTTCTATCATAAGAACCTTCTCCTAACAATAACAAACACAACAAAAAAAATCAGTCAAATCGGTCCAGCCATTCTCAAGTTATTGCGTGACACCGGGAAACGGGTTTCATTTTTAAATATTTATAATAGTACCTTTTCATTTCGTTGTACTTTAGAACTTTGATTTGTTTGGAAAATGTAATAAGGTCGTGTCTATTTTGCGCGACCCCAATTTGAGCAATCAATTACAGACATTTCATTGAGAAATTTTCCTAATTATAGGGAATTATGGAGAGGTGAGAGTAAAATTTAAAACAACTATTTTGAAACTGTTTCAATTATGCTCTTTATTATGTAGACATAGAAGAATATCTAGTTACGAAAAATTGCAAGTCATCATAATGAAAACCAATAACTAAATGTATCTTCACCACATTTTCTAAATTAGCAAAGTTAGCATTCAAAATGAGGTTCTGCTAATTTTATAGTACATAACGTATTTTGTTTTTGTATACAATTTTTATATCATCACCATTATATTAATATCAAACACAAGATGTCCGCTACTAAAGATGGGCGTCCTCTAATGAACTTTATAGATTAATTACCTATGTGTTTCCCTGCAGCAGCCCTCGCTTATAAACCTGAACCTTTCGGTTCTCGTACTGAGTGATTCTTTGTAAGATACACAAAATATTGTGTATGTGAACTTTGTAAATGTGATGTTTGTAAATGCACCCACGAGAGGCCGATATCCTAGTGTGCAAAGTTATTCAAAATAAAAAAATATCTTTCTGCTTATTCCAGCAACAATACCAACCTTCACATATGGAATCCAGATCGGCTGGCTGTCTCCAATGGGACCGCTTCTAAGGTCTAAGTCAACGCCCGCGCTGGACCCCTTGACAGACAATGACATCTCGTGGATGGCGGCCGCACTACCCCTAGCCGCCATTTGTGGAATACCGTTCTTCAGTCACGCGTCTGATCGATTTGGACGAAAGATCTGTGTTATTCTAGTTTCTTTACTGTCTTGTGTAAGTATTCATTACATATCATAACATCACGCCTTTTATCCCCGGTAGGGTAGGCAGAGGTGCACATGCCACTTAATGCCACTGTACAATGTAACATCAACTTTACACTATTTATGTTATGAGTCCCATGTAATAGGGGGTGAGCCTATTGCCAAATACCGGGTACATTTCCAGATTCCGTGCTACTACTGAGATTTTTAAGCTCAGTTTTATTCGTGTAAAAGTAAGTATTAACATAAAATTATAATTATGCTGTTCTCTTCAGAGGTTTAAGTACCCATACTAAAGTTAGATAGGTTTAAAACGCAACATTAACGGGTTACCGAGGCTCCGGCTCGAAGTGCAGGAGAAGGAACGGGGTGGTTTTTAGTCAGTAAGAGTCTGACACTCCCTCCCGCCTCACCCAGACGGGAGCAGTCATTCGATGATTTTCCCCCCTTAAAAAAAAGGTTATGTACATAAGTGTCCTCCAGTCAGCAGTATAGCAGACCAACAACAAAGCTCTGTTAAACGATCATTTAGGATCTTATAATTTGGTCAAAATCACTCGATCGCTCCTATCATCAGCATAAATTAAACGTTAAACAATGACGTCACAGTACCTATTTTCAATGACAATATTTACATTAACGTTTGCAACTTTACTACAAACACAATTATTACTTTAAGCATGTAATATGACGTCAAAATTCACATTATGCAGCTGTCTGACGTTAGGTAAATAAGTACTAATTCTCACTTACTTAAGTAGTTATACCTACACAGTGGGAGAATAATATTTACATAACATCACGCTTTTTATCCCCGAAGGGGTAGGCAGAGGTGCACTAAATGCCGTTAACAAAATTGGTGAAAAGTTACAAGTCCCATGTACGGTATACCTAATAGGGGGTGAGCCTATCGCCCTATACCGGGCACAATCCCGGACTCCGTGCTACTACTGAGATTTTTTTCAAATCCCAGTAATATTTTGCCTTACCGGGAATTGAACCCGAGACCCTCGCCGAGTCGCACTTGCGACCACTCGGCGAATGAGGCAGTCAAAGAATAATATTTACTTTTACATAATAATCTTTTATTTGTTTTAAAACCTGTTCACATACTATAAATAAGATTAAACGGTGGCTTGTTAAAAAATTCCTTTTCAATAAGATATATTATTACTAGCGACCTGCCCCGGGTTCGCACGGGTTCAATATTCATGTATTATACATATAAACCTTCCTTAACTCGTCGAGTACCGGTTTTGTAGACACAATTAAAGAACAATAGGTTGCGGTCACCGGTGACCGCTTGGTGTTTGACAGTTTAAGAATCACTCTATCTATTAAAAAAACCACATCAAAATCCGTCGCGTAGTTTTAAAGATCTAAGCATACATAAGGAATTAAGGACAGACAGACGGCAGATAGCGACTTTGTTTTATACTATGTAGTGATGGACGAATCTTTATATACAATATAATTCCATCAAAAACATTCTGTAAAAAACTAGCCAAGTCTCGATGGAGCTGCTAGTTTATCTCTAAAAAGTAATGAAATATTAAATATACAAAGTCGTGCCAAGTCTAAGGTTCCTTATTGCGATTTCGTTATTATTATAGTTAATGTTGTGTGACTTTGCCGTTAAAGGGTTTTTTTAAGGGGGGAAAATCATCGAATGGCTGCTCCCCACGTTTTCCAAGTGGCTAAAATTACTAAAAAAGACACAGAACAGTTTTATATTATGATCACCATTTTTGTTTCCTAAATGACTCGAAAGCACAAATGCGCATATTTTATTATTATGTATGAGTTTGAAAACCTTGTCTCACGAGGAAGTTTCACCCAAAACCTCTTAGTCGACGTCGACAGTGGCGCCCGTAATACAGCGGAACCAAAAACCAGAAATCAAAAAAATATTAGGTAATTAAAGAGGCCTTCCACCTCGGGACCAAGTATTAAACCGAAGTAACTCCTAAATAAATAATTACTTCCTTAATTTCATAAGTACGTTGACTTGAAATATAATCACGGTGCAATAAAATTCTTAAAACGAAAAATACATATTCTTAAGATGGTGCCATAAAGTTATTAAAAGCCTCCATATCTCTAATGTTTATACAAGTACTAAAATCATACTAAAATGAACATAAGAATGAACACTGAACTGACGAATCATTACAATTTTGAACTGACAAACAGATAGAACTGCTTTACATTTGGACTTCTTTACTTTCAGGATTTCACTAAATTCAATATTGGCGCTAATCTAGCAAGAAGCTTTTTATTATTAGCAAGGTGTCCGGCCCTAGTCCGGGCCATGATGCGGAGCGAGGACGACTGGGATACCGTCTGCTCCTTTAGCTAAGGAGAAGGCGGGTGTGAGGCAGCGAAGCGCTGCCTCCTCACAACCCAGTCGTCCTGAAGGACACTCCGGGTGTCGGGGATCACGAGACAATCTTCAGCCACCGTAAGCACGGACCTGCGGACGGCGAGCACGGGTGACTCGCCGCCCGACCAGAACCAGGCCCGAGCGTACGGCACGTCGCGTTCTGCTCGCACTCAAAGAGCCATCAAACCACCACGGATGAAGCCCAATAGGGTTGATGCCAATACGGAGCCGCAGAGGACTTAACGGGTTGCCGGGGCTCCGGTTTGAAGTGTAGGAGCAGTAACGGGGTGGTATTTTGTCAGTAAGACTCTGACACTCCCTTCCTCCTCACCCAGGTGGGAGGAGCCATTCGATGATTTTCCCCCCTTAAAAAGAGCAAGAGATTTTTTGTCCAATCACTGCAGCTGTCAAATATTGAACGTCCAATGATGTGACATTAGCTAATCTCCTATTTGATGAATAACGCGAGGTCCACACAAGCGACCAAAAAACGGTAGCCCCTTAACCTTTTACTTGCCTATGAGACAATTGTTTCCAATAGGGTAGACGACTAATTTTTATTTTAATGTCCGTCTGGTAGATTATTTTAAATCATTAGACCCGTATTTTTTATTTTCTTACAGAAACGAATACTTTCGACGATATATTGATTTGAAATGTCGCGTGACGTCACTTCTCAGTACATTTTATACTAAGAAATGACGTTTTAGCCCCCACTCCTAAACTTTGATTCGTTTTATCTAATTATTGTTTTATTATACGACAAAAGAAAAAAATACGTGTCTAATATTTTTTAATTACCTAACTTATGGACTAATTATATTTTTAATTTTTATACCCTGTCATCATCCCCATTATGTTTTAAGACAATGCTTCCCAATTATGTTTTAAAAAGATTTAGCTGAACGCCAGTATTTTATACGAAACGACTGTAATATGCCAAATACTTGATAGGAGTCGTCGTCATTGCCATTTTTTAGGTTTCCGACCAGTAAATCGCTTGTTATCTTTGTTATGAGCAGTAAATCTTACGGATGAATAAAATCTTATAATTAATCTCTAATTTCAGATATCATGGACGATAAAACTGACAGCAATTTTCCCATCAGCATTAATATCAGCGAGGGTGATAGCTGGTCTAGCCGCGGGCGGCTGTTTCGTTGTAGTTCCAGTTTACCTTAAAGAGATTTCGGAAGACACTCTTCGAGGGGCTTTGGGGTCCTTGAACATGACTATGTGTAAACTTGGAGTGATATTTGTGTACGCCATTGGAATGGCGACCTCGTATCGAGTGAACCAAGGAGTATACCTCGCCGTGGCGGCTGTCCATGTAATTGTCTTCTGTTTCATGCCAGAATCTCCCAACTATCTCTTGAAGATCGGCGAAGAAAAGGTTGGTTGAATATTTTTTATGTTTGATAAAATATTGTGTATTGTCTTTTAAAGGGTTTTTAAAGTGTACTGTGTATGCTCCGATACGTATTAAAGATTTAAGATAACATAGCATAACATCACGATGACGACGTAGAGTAGTAGAGTAGGGTCCGATTCCGATTGAAACCAAAAAATAAATAATAGAATGGAGAATTTAATATTTGCATCTTTACCCATTTACTTCTTCTTTAAAAATGGTGATTCTCATCCCTTCTTCATATGAGAAAAGGCCTTTACATAGTGGTAAGACAGTTGCAAGCTGATGTTAACAATGATTTTTTTTTTATATAATATGATGGGCCGACGACTTCTATTTCGCCTGGTGGTAAGCGACGATGCGGTTTACGATGGAGCACGTCGTCCCATAAGTAACCTATTCACTCGGGCCTTTAAGACTCCTAGGTTATATCCTTCAGGAAATACAGACTCTGACAAAGAATTCCACTCCTTAGCAGTACGCACAAGGAAGCTTGATGCGAATCGCTGGATGAAATTTTACTTGAACCTCAAAAGACATCCAAATGTTTCAGAAAGCAGCTAAAACGATATCCTGGCTGCGCAGTCTTAACAAGGACCACAACCAGGTCGTGGAGGAGCTGCTGAAGCTGAAGGATGAACAGCGGCAGTTCGAGGAGACCACACGGGTCTCACTGCTCAGTGTGGGTAAAGTACGAATGATATATTCTTAAGTACTATTAAATTAATTAAGTACTTAAACAGCTCCTCTGGACAAATGAGATTTGAGCGTAAGTCGAAGAAGTGAATATAAAAAATGTGTAGGATGGTATTGGATCTGGCTTTCGACTTAAATCTGATGTCAAAGCAAATGTCTAGCTAACCCTTACATAGTTAATCCAGTCACTCTTTAAATACTATATATTTATCTAGCTATGTGGCTTATGCTGGGAGGGTTATGCCATGAGAACCCCTAAAAAGCCAGTATGGGATTGACTATGACATACGTCAATTTGTCATATTGCGTCACTTGGACAACGTCAAATTTGACACATGTCTAATTTGACGTAAGTCAAAGACTCAAAGTCATACATTCCTTTATTTCTATTATTTTTATTAGACTAGCAATTTCCATTTGTCTCTAAGTAAAATTATCTTCTGTAAACAGATAACATTATCATCTAACAAGCAACATTGACAAAGTTGCCATAATAAAATTAATATAGGCACATTGAAAGTGCCAATAAAAATGTAAGATAAGAATTAGCACGTTTTAACTTAGACTACGTACAAAATGCTCATCAAAATACCCCCGATCTACTTAATTTTCAATCTTAACATTCTGTAATAAGGTTGAAAACCAAATAAAGATAATGGGCAAAATAGGATAGCTTTACACTCTACATATTTCCATACACTGATAACAATTCAGTGTGTACATTATGATATTAAGTATTTGAGCTATAAAACCTAAGTCAGGACCTACCGTTATCTAGTGCTTACTTTGTAAGTACCTATAATTAGACAATAAGATGATGTTATCTAGGTATACGACTGTTGGCCGTGAGTTCGATGTCTTAACAGAGGCCTTAGTACGAGTTTATTTTTCGTTTGAAGTAATCATAACGGGTACGCGTTCGGCGCTGTGATTGGCCGGCTCCAATGAACCAACCAATCAGAGACCTTAGTACGAGTTCATTTTACGTTTAAAGTAATCGTAACGAGTACGCGTTCGGCGCAGTGATTGGTTGCTTCGTTGGTGCCGGCCAATGAGAGTGCCGAACGTAGACTCGTTTCGAATACTTTAAACGAAAATGAAACTCGTACTAAGGCCTCAGAGCACCGAACGCCGTCTCGTTTTGATTACTTTAAACGAAAAAGTAACTCGTACTAAGCCCTCTGATATTTCTTTATGACACGTCTTTTATAACCTGATGAGCCTGCCTAGAAGCATAGTTGCACATAAATGCATGTATTACGTAAGTTTTCTAATAATAATTGTTATTAGGTATACTGTTCTACATCAACACTAATAGGCACATTTTAAAACTCTGTCCGACTCGAGAAAACCAGTAGCCCTCTGCACTACAGTCATCCGATCATGAACGATGCAGTCTAAATTACTTTACCATAATATTTTTACATGCAAGTAAATTAACACCTCACAGTAAACCGACGTGAAACATCACTTATGTTGTGTTTCGTCGTGTGAGCGAAGTTACTAGAGGCCCAACTACCCCCCCTCCCCTTCCCCAATATCCTCAATCCCTGAATCCTTAACATTCCTCAAATTCCTAATCTCAAAAGGCCGGTAACGCACTTGTAACTCCTCTGGTGTTCCAGGTGTCCGTGGGCGACGCCGATTGTTTACCATCAGGTCATCCGTCTGGTCGATTACCGGCTTATCCTATAAAAAAATCAACTTTATGTCATGAACCACAAGTTGAAAATTTCTTCTTAAAGTAATTCTTAACCTACCAACACAATAAATAAATACTTACTTCCCCATTACTTTCCACAGTACGCGACCGTACGACATTCTCGGCGCTTCGGATGACGCTGATGCTCATGGCGATGCAGACGCTCTCAGGGTGTTTCGCCCTCATGAACTACGCGGCCGACGTGTTCCATAGAGCGGGCACACAGTGGAGCCCTAACACGTTGGCATTGGCTGTCGGCTCCCTGCAACTCGCTGGGTCGTTCTTCACTACGATATCCATTGAAAAGTTTGGACGAAAGGTAACTTTGTTTTTTTTGTTATAGAGTTACAAATCCCTCCCGCAACTGCAAAACAGAATCCCCCAAAGGAGGACAATGCACTTATAATTGTCTGGTGTTGCGGTTGTCCATAGGCATCGCCGATTGCTTACCATCAGGTGTTACGTCTGCTCGTTGACCGTTTGCAAAACAAATCATAACTGATTTTCAAAAAGAAGGTTTTCAAAAATAATGTGACCTTACTGAAAAAAATTTACTACGCCATATATGACTAGTAACTCAAGTTGGTTCATTGAATAAAAATTTTAAAACGGTGTACCACAAACTACTTACTCGTAAATTAGGTAACCATCCTACTACTATTATAAAGGCGAAAGTTTGTAAGTATGGATGTATGGATGTTTGTTACTCTTTCACGTAAAAACTAATGAATGGATTTGAATGAAACTTTACCACAATATAGCTTATACATCAGAATAACACATAGGCTATAGCTTATACATCAGAATAACACATAGGCTACAATTTTTGAGGTTTCTAATGTGAGGTCGTAAAAAAACACATTTTTTGCGCTTACATTGCAAACGCTGACTGAATCCTACAAGATAGATCAAAACAATGTACTACAGTATTGTACAACTTAAAAAGGTCTACAAAAAAGTCCGTGATGGTATATGTTTATCTCTTAGGAATAACCCACAATAACCATTTTTTATCCTTTACTTTATACGAGAAAAAAGAGGATGAAAGTTTGTATGAAACTTTGTCAGTTTTTAACTGATCGGGTTGAAATTTGGCATGCAGATAGATGTTATGACGTAAGCATCCGCTGTGAAAGGATTTTGATAATTTCCACCCCCAAGGGGGTAAAATAGGGGATGAAAGTTTGTATGAGACTTTGTCAGTTTTAAACCGATCGGGTTGTAATTTGGCATGCAGATAGATGTTATGACGTAAGCATCCGCTGTGATAGGATTTTGATAATTTCCACCCCCAAGGGGGTAAAATAGGGGATGAAAGTTTGTATGAGACTTTGTCAGTTTTAAACCGATCAGGTTGAAATTTGGCATGCAGATAGATGTTATAACGTAAGCATCTTCTAAGAAAGAATTTTGATCATTTTCACTCCTAAGAGGGTAAAATAGGGGGTGAAAGTTCGTATGGAACTTTGTCAATTATAAAACGATCTGGTTGAAATTCGGCGTGCCGATAGATATTTTGACGTAAACATCCTCTAAGAAAGGATTTTGATCATTTCCACTCCCCAAGGGGGTAAAATAGGGGTGAAAGTTTGTATGAAACTTTGTCAGTTTTACACCGATAGGGATGAAATTCGGCATGAAAGTAGATGTTATGACGTAGGCATCTCCAAGTAAGGATTTTGATCATTTCCAACTCCAATGGGATAATGTAGGGGATGAAAGTTTGTATGAGGCTTTGTCAGTTTTACACAGATCGGGTTGAAATTCGGCGTGCAGGTAGATATTATGACGTACACGTCCCTTTAGAAAGGTTTTTGAACATTTCCACCCCAAAGTGGGTAATATAGAGGGTGAAAGTTTGTGTGATACTTTGCCAGTTTTAAACCGATCGGGCTGAGACTTTGCATGCATAAAGTTACTATGACATAGGTATCTCCTTAGAAAGGATTTTGATGAATTCCACCCCTAAGGGGATAAAATAGGGAATGATAGTTGGTGTGAAAATGGGAATGAAAATTGAATCTAGAATCATTGAATCTTTTTGAATTACATTCGGTAAAACGATGATTTGGGACCTGAGTAACGTATGATAGTTTTTATCTCAGAAGTCCCTCGGGAACGGGAACTATGCGTCAATGCTCCAGGACTCTCTATCTTTTAACCACTGAACTTATTTCATAGAGATTCTGTACAACAGTCGAAGTTTTTATTACTCAAAACTTACGTGATCGGGCCGGGACTGGTAAGAACCCTGCGGGATTTTTAATTTATTGAAATTACGATAAATCATTTCACAATAGGTAAATCTTAATTGGGCACTGAATTGATTCTGATGAATTCTGTCAGAAGGCATTAATCTACGCAGACGAAGTCGCGGGCAACAGCTAGTTTTTTATATTACGGATATTCTTTGTGATCAATATCGCAAAAGGATGAAGGAAACGAAAGAAAAACATTTCATTTATGTATAAGATCCAAAGCAAGGTCACCAAGATTCGCAAAAATAAACTCTTGTTTAATAACTTTGAAATATTTTTATTACATACAATCTACAGTTTACTGACAAACTCATTCCACGGACAATATCCATGTCTATCCTTGTCTGAACACCAGTTTAATCTCATGACGACCCTCTGCGGAGGATTATTAAAAGAAAACTTATTCCCACTTCGCACCTGAGACCAACTCGGGTACACATACTCCACCCTCAAAAAGTCATTTTTATCATCTGTCCATCTCTGAAATACCAGCTTTCCACCAATAGGATGTTTCTCAAACTGCTTCGGCAAATCTACGGGTTCAAATCCCATATTTGTAGTAATAGTGTTCAAATTATAATCGTGACCGACTATCAATGTCAATTTCGGCATGTCGTCATAATTGTTAAATATTTCTCTCAAGTAGTTCATCAATGGTGCTCCGATATCTTCAGCGGCTGTTGAGTACCTTATGTCATGGTCTTGACATACCAACTCCGTCACTACTTTCCATTTTTCTTTATTTCTCATATAACCCCACGCAATGTCTTTCACTGGCACACCATCGTAGTAACTCATTACAAAGAAATCTACCACCGAATCGGCTATCATCAGTGGTCCGTTAACCCACAGTTCTTTACCAACTTTGTAAAATATCGAATTCTTTGGCTCCGTCAAATCACAGATACCATCCTCTTTGCAAACATCTGACTCTTCTATATCCAATATGTCGTTTAATTCCAAATACACCTCTTTGAGTTTCTGATTATTTAACATTTTTCTTTTGATTTCTCCTATTACCTTGTCTTTGTAAGCCTGCGTAGTGTTGTGTATCACAGGGGCAAAGAGAGGATCTGAGCCATTATTTTTTTTATGATACATACGCACGGGGCAGTCTTTAAACGCAGATTCAAGGAAAGCTCGCGCAGTTGCCTTAGTTCTGCTCAGTGTGTTCGTGTACACATACACCTCGTCGTCATCAGGACATCCTACATTTAGAAACTCATTGTCATTGAACCATTCTGCGAAATATTCGCCCATGTATCCTTCTAGCCGTGCTCCTCTAGGCGTCAGAGCTCCTTTTGCTCCAGATAATGTGGGCCATGGTTTCTGTGTATATCGTTCCAGGTCATCCGCAACTGGATACCGCACATTGTGCCTACTGAATATCAAAACTTGCTTTAGTTTCAATTCGTTCGCGTCCAAGTTATTACAAAACAACACGGTGGATAAAAATACAGAAACTAATATTTGCGCCATAATTTTATTAACTTTTCTATCACTGTCACAGACGTCGTATTTAGATTTTAAATAAAATATCATCCGCATTTACGTAGGTATTTGATTAACGTTTGTTTAAATAGACCAGCCCACGTCTGCAGGTAAAACAAGACTAGTTTTGATTTCATAAAAAAGTTCGCACGGTGCACACTGCGGCGTCGCAGTCGTGTAAGTATGGTTCCTTGTAAGGTAGCGCTCAAACCTAAACTGTGCAATTCTACGTTTTGTTAATTTTTCTCCGATTTGTTTCTTTTTTGAGGATATGTCATAGATACATATGTATAGACAGATAAATAAAATTGGAGTCTCTGTTTGTAATATTGAAATAATCGGTTGTACAGTATGATACAAAACAAAAAAAAATACATCTCTGAAATGGCTGGACCGATTTTACCGGGTTTTTATAACACATCTGTTCGTCAATGCTTTAGAAAACTTTGTGTGTTTCAAAATTTTTCGACTGTATTACTATAATATTCAATGTATCCTCAAAAAATATCAAAACAAATCAACAGAATTTAAAATAAAATATCTAGTTTGGGCTCTACCTTGTATAGCGACGTCCCAGTGTGCGGTGTACAGCTGTGTAAAGATGACTGAATTGAATACCTTATGCATTTCATTTAAAAAATATTATGTATTTATGTGGTAAACCGGAAAATTATTAATATTATTTATTTATTAAAAATACACTGTGAAATTTATATCGCTATTTTCCCCAAGTGATATGGTTTTATCTCGGTAACACAATCCATACTTATCTAACTAACGTTATAAATGAGAAAGTGTGTGTTTATGTGTATTTGACCGTGTTCCACGGCAAAACGGAACGACGAATTAACGTGATTTTTAAGTGAAGATAGTTGAACGATCGGAAAATGACATAGTCTGCTTTTTGTCTTTGTCAAACCACTTCCCCAAAATGGAGGGTGAAAGTTTGTATGAAGTATTTAGCAATTTTCAAGGATGAACGCTAAAAATTGGTATACGGACTATCCGTGGCTAACATACAAAAATCGTGCATGATTATTTATTATTAACACAACACGCTAAAACTGACGAAAGCGTTCCCATAAAATGGGTTTTAAGTAAACAATAGGCCTAAATCTTAAAGGGTTTTTTTTAAGGGGGGAAAATCATCGAATGGCTGCTCCCGCCTGGGTGAGGCGGAAGGGAGTGTCAGTCTCTTACTGACTAAAAACCACCCCGTTCCTTCTCCTGCACGTCGAGCCGGAGCCCCGGTTACCCGTTAGGTTCTCCGCGACAAATCTTGAAGGGGTTTGTCGTCGCCGGGTGGCAAGACACGTCTAGAGTTATTATTTGTTCTCAAGTGCGTAAAACAATGAATAATTTTTACTTTATGCGTAGAAAATATTCCTTATGGCAAATTGTTAAACCGTGGGAAAACAATTAGGTAGGTACATATATTACACGGTGTATAACACAGCTGGCCACGGTATTAGTGACAGCAGTAATTACTTATTAAATAACACGTGCAGCCCTATAATATACTAATCATTGGACTTGCACTGAACATGGAAGCTATGTGAACAAAATATCGCGGTTTACAGACGTCCATATGCTGAGAAAAGCTCTACTAGTTTCGAACCACAGAGGGGCTCTTCCTCATGAGAAGCGTGCGCGGTCGCGGCGATGTCGCTTAGCCTACTCTGCGTAGGCTTTACTCAGTATCTTCACGTGAGTGACACGCGAATTTTGTTCTTTTAGTGTCTCACGACAGTTATTATAAAAAAACATGGAAGCTACGATAAGGTAACAAAGGAATAATATATTTATCGACATATTTCACCAACACCCTACGCCATATCTCTTAACTAAAATTCTGACGTAGCATCTAAACTGACCCCTTACTTGTACTGTTAGGTGTCACTTATCTTAGGTATGAAAACCAAAATGTCGTTAAATATGTCCCGTCTTATATTAGTATCAAATTTAGAAGTTGGTAAAACAGGCATTGGACATTGATACAACCTTACCCTATGTGTTATTGGGCTCGCTGCCATCGCATCGGTAAGTCCCCTCTTTGAGGAGTGGCTCGATAGATCCAAGTACGAAACATATCCACACAAACTTTCGTATTTATAATATTAGTAGAATTTTCTGTTACTATTAGCGATGCAGAGGTGAGTACTATTAGCGATCCATGTGTGTACTACGGGCAACCATATTGTCAAACCCCCTCCGTAGGTAATAAGTATTTCGACTTATAATTATCTCATAATGTATATTGTTATTACATTAATTGTAGCCTTGTTGCTTATACGGTTACACATGTGTTGTGTTGTTCAAGGAATCTCAGCATTTCGGGTCTTCCGTGAAATTTTTATTCTGTAATTATTTGGAATCTGGAATTGTACCCGATGCTTGACGCAGACTTGATTTATTACTCAGCTTATTACAATTTATTATTCAGCTGGCCCTTCTTAGACCGAACATCGCAGCTTAGCCCAGTAGGGCTCTTCATAGGCAGGTCATTCATCCTCCGTTGTTGAGAGGAGGTTCATGATTTCCTAATAGAAGATGTCCTACCTGAAACCAAACAAGGAGATCAATAACTATTAATGAGCATGATTCATTAGTTTGTGAGAGCAACTAAACCAGTACCTATATAGCACCGTATCTTTTCATACCCCCATTGGAGTATGTATGTACTTAATAATTTGTTATTACGTAGACTTAGGTAGATTGTCCCGCCATTTCTCTAAACAAATAGAATATAAAATTGAGAGACACTCACCTCTGATGATGATGATGATAAAGCACTCACCTAACCGCCCATCGACATACAGAAACCGGTTATTCCCAATTATTACGCATTCTTCAAAACTTACACACATGTTTATGACCAAAATACATGTAATTCGATTGTTAATGATTTTTGACTTTTTCAGTTCTTCCGCGACTTGTCAGCATGTGTGAATAGATTATTGCATCGATCATCGATATCCAAACCACATCCAAACTTGTCCAAACTACATATCTGCTTAGGTTGTCAAATACCTGCAATAAACCTATTTGGAAACATATTTTGTTACTTAACTTGGACTGTTCAGAAATTATATCTACTGATTTAGGTACTAAAGGATAAAACGAGTAGCATTAAATAGAGTTTATATGGATATTGAATACTATTAGAAACAGGTACCTGATTACCTTCTACCATAGACGTTGCCTATTTTTCAATGTCCTTACCTACTACAATCATTCACTTGTAGGTAAAACTAAAAGCTAATACGTGTGTAACTCGTAATCATCAACTTATAATGCCCACTGTTGAGCAAAAGCGTCTCCCCGCACAGAGGTTTAAAACATTAATCACCAGGATTTTAATTAGCATTAAAGCATTGCTCAAAAATGTTTGACAATTTCAAACTTACCTATATGTAACCTATTTAGAATTCATAAAGCCAGGTTTCTTCACGATATTGTCCTTCAAAGTGTGTCAAATGTGGGCTATAATTATATTATTTTTGCTTCCAGATTCCTCTAGCCTGCAGTTCCCTAGTCGTGTCAATATGTATGACGACCTTAGCCACCTGTTTCCTGCTCGGCACGGGCGTGGTGAGCTGGTTGCCAGTGGTAGCCGTGTGTGTCTGTATCCTGGCTTACGGAGCCGGTCTGGCACCAGTTCCCATGGTCATCATGGCTGAAGTATTTCCTTTCCAGGTAAGCTAATGTTGTTGGAATGTGTTCCAAGCATGGGAGAGCCATGCTTCGGCACTAATGGACCATCTCGACCGTAGTGATACCACGGTCTACTATACCTGCACAGATTTCACCCGCTATTTAATGATCACGTTACGATCAATGGAACCGAGCTGAGAGAGAAGGCTAAAACCTTCCTCGGTAAATGCGCTATCCAACACAAAAACTATTAATTATTATGTTTTTCAGCATTCAAGTAATTATTTGACGAGGAACTAGTTTCAAGCCATGCTAGAGAAGCCAGCAGCGCGACAGTCGCCGCGTCGCGGGTCGCGTAATGCTGCTCATGAATATGAGCCTATAAGATGGCTTGTAACTAGTCCAGTTCCTCGTCAAATAATTACGTGTGTAAGCGGAAAAACACAATAATTAATGTAGTATGACTCACGAAACTTATACCACAAAAACTATTGTTCAATTTGAACCAGTATGTAGTACCGGAGACAAGCGCATTCGAACAAACAAGCACACAAACTATGCAGTTGTTTACTATTATAGATATTCTCCTTTATTTACGAAGTATGCCGAATGGATAATGCAAAATGGATTATTATTTATTGTTTTAAATAATATTTATTAGTTGCGGATTTAGTTTATTAGTTCCGAATTAACAACGTTTCGTCTATTACGTTGGTAGAGGTCGCGACATCAAACTCCGGATTCGATTCCTGGAGCAAGCAAACCCCTAAGCTCAGATAGGTAACGCTACATTTAGGTTTTCACTAACCTTTAAGTGACACCTAACAGTTTAGTTTAGGTACTCTTTCACGCTAAGTTACTCTTTGTTTAAGAGATGGTTAAGGGGTAGGTGATGAAAATGGCCACTATTTTATTAAATTCCTACTTATTCAATAACGTTACTTAACTGTTCCAGGTGCGAGCACGGATGGCAGGAGCATCAATGGCGTTTTCCTTCTTTTGCAGTTCGATGACCGTTCTGTTCTACACGCCCATTGCGAACCAGTTTGGAGCCTACGTAGTATTTTATACTTTTGCAGCCGTAACACTATTTGGAGTCCTCTACACTATCCTATGGGTGCCAGAAACCAAAGGCAAAAGCTTAGAAGAAATACAAAAATATTGGAAAAAGACTGAGCCAGTATTTGTGTGAAATTGTGGACTATAATATATTTGAGAGTTTATCTTATTTGAGACATTGGTTTGAGGTACACATTCCCTTTTGTAGTTTTATTTATGAGATAGGGACGATGATGATGATGATAGATGGAATCATCTACCTACGTCTTCAATTGGGTACTTTTCAATAATAAATTATTTCGCCTGTTTAATACAATAATATATAATCACATTTTAATTTTATGATTTTATAACCAACTTAATTTTATTATTTTTCCAGCAAATTTTTAAGAAATAAGTATCCTGTTTGACGCTAAAAAAAAGGTGACGTCACAAAACACAATCTCGTAAAAAATTCATAGAAAACTGTTGTTTTTTGACAGTTCGAAAAAAAGTATAGAATTTGACTAGTTGCCAAGTACCCAATTCATCAATTGTATATTAACCTACATACCACATTATATTACAAATACGTGTTTTGTGATAAACGATAATAAAAATAAATTACAAGTTCAATAGGTATTTTTATATACATGTCAAAGACGTGGATAGTATTTTGTCATCTTCCCTATTGCGTCTCTTTTCGTTCAGAGCTGGTAAGAATCTAAGAGTATTTCTTCTTATGTAGATAGTATGGAAAACCTTGAAAACATGGAACAATTCGTGTCCCTTCGTCCAGCATACTCACCATGGAATCCTGATATTTCATGAATGTCAAAAAACTGTTCTGAAATAGTGCTAAATAGTGCCCAAAGGAAAAAAATAGTGCTCTTGTACTTGCGAAGTTATAGCCATAGTTCGATGAGTATGCTGGACGAAGGTTTCGCCCAGCATACTCACCTCCGTCCGGAGAATCTGTATACGCTTCAAACATAATTCATACTTCAAAAAATAGTTCCCAAATAGTGCCAAACGGTGCCCAAAAAGAAAAAACAGTGCTCGAATAACTTCGGAGTTATAGGCTTCGTTCAGTGAGTATGCTGGGCGTAGGTTCTACGCCCAGCATACTCACCTCAGTGCGCGAATATCGAACGAGCTATAGGTACAATTTACGTCTCAAAAAATTGTGCTTGAAATAGTGCCCAATATCAGTCCAATTTTTGCTTGACTTTTGAC